GGGCTACCAAAGGGACTATTCAATCTGGCCTCAACTTATATTGCCAAATTTACCAAATACTATTCTCTTTAATGTATTCTATATGTTTAGCCAGACTGGCCTTTGTACAGCCCTGTCCTGGCACTCCATTTCCCATCTCTTTGCCCTTTCACATAGCTATTCTACATACCTGGAATGCATCTTTAATGCCATCCTAGTTTCCTTCAGAGTCAGCTCTGGTACCACCTTTTGACATGACCCCCCCCTTCCTGCTTCCACAAATTGCTAGTACTTTCCTCCCAAAATCATCTGGGTCTCCTTGCCTCAAATCTCTCCCTCACAAATCCATCTGCCAAATGATTGCTAGAGTGAAATTTATGAAACACAAGTGGCCACTCCTCTGCTCAATGAACTCCAGCAATTCCCTATTGCCCCTAGGATCACATGCTTCTGATTATCTTTTAAAACCCTTTATAACCTGGTTCCAACTTACTTTTCTATCTTTATTATACATTACTTCCCTTAACATATTCTGCAGTCCAGGCAAACTGGCCTTTTTGCTGTTCTCATATATGATATTCCTTCTATTTGCCTTTGAATATTCCATCCCTCATGACTGGAATGCAGTGTTTTTGCAGTGAATGCTGAATCTGTGCTACCCATTATGAACAAGGTCCTGTGAACCAGCTGGGTCTCTTTGACTCAATATATTTCAGTATTTTTTCATATTTTATCAAAATTATCTCAACTTCATCAACATGATTGGGTTTATTCATATTCTACACTATTTTTTCAAATTTTAAAGGGAAATATAATTTCCTGTAATAAGTAGAATAAATCAAGCATTTGTTAAGCATTCACTACGGGCCAGGCACTATCCTAGGTATTAGGATTACAAAATACAAAGGCGAGGCAATCCTTGCCATCAAGGGGCTTATGTTCCAGAGGCAGAGATATATGGATATTTTATATATGGGTATTTAAAAAATGCATATAATACAGATACAAGGTAACCTTATTGCGACAGCCACTGGCTGCTGAGGGATCAGGAAAAAGCTTGTGCAGAAGATGGCACTTTAGGTGATGCCTAAAGGAAACCAAAGATTCTAAGACGCAGAGCTAGAGGTGAGGAAGGAGAGCATTCTATGTATAAGAGTCAGCTGGTACAGAGGCCCCCAAAGAGGAAATAGACTATAGTGTTCAAGGAACAGGAAACAGGCCAGTATGACTAGACTCTAGAGTACATGGAAAGAAGAAAAGTGAGAGGGTGGGCAAGGTTGGTATAATGACTGGGACTTACAGAGTGTACATGTTATATGGGTGGTGAGGGTGTAGGACTGGGGTGACCTGGTCAGAACTGTACTTTAGAAAAATCACTTTGGTGTGGAAGAAGGATTGGAGAAGAGAGAGGCTTGAATTAGAGAGTACAATTAGGAGGATCTTAAGGTGAGAGGTGATGAAGGCTTGAACCAGAGTGGTGGTTATGAGTTACAGTAGATGAAGAAATTCTGAATGCTGTGGATAAGTTCACTTACCATGGTAGTATACTTTCCAGGAGTGGTTATGAGGGTAGAGATAAAGGGAAATAGGGCAAGATATTGTGGAAGTTAAGCCAAGATTTTGCAACTGACTGAATATGCAGAGTAAAATAAGAGTGAGGAACAGAGGATAATGCTAAGGTTGTAAAACTGAGTGACTACAAAAGATGTGATAGCCTTGACAGTAATATGGAACTTCAGTGGAGGAGTAGGTTTTTTTGGAAAATATAATGAGTTCTGTTTTGGACAAGTTTGGATGACATGATTGACATGATGCATGTAGGGCATCCAATTTGAATTACTTAAAAGGCAAATAGTGACTGGTATAGAGCTCAGAAGAGAGACTTGGGCTTGATATTATTGATCTGGCAATCTTGTTAATTAAGAGGATAATTGAACGTATGGGAAGTGATGAGATCACAAAGTGAGAGAGTATACAGAGAAAATGGAAGCAGGTTCAGGGCAGAAGCTTGGGGCAGAGGAGAGGAAAGAGTATTCAGAAAGAAAGGGTCAAATTCAGCAGAGCTTAAGAAGGATAAAGACTGAAAAAAGGTTTTCAGATCTGGCAATTAAGAAGTCACTGGTAACTTTCAGCAGAGCAGCTTCAGTTGGATGATGGGGTCAGAAGTCAGAGAACTATTGGCAAAGAACAGACACAATTTTTAAAAGGAGATTGGCAGAGAAAGGCAGAGGAGATACAGGATGATAACTAGTTGACATTGTAGAATCTAGTAAAAAGGGATTTTTTTGGTTTGTTTTTGTTTTTTTTTTAAGAATGGGGAGACTTGGGCATATTCGGAGGTCTAGAAAGAAAGGAAGCAGTGAACAGAAAGAGATTATAATGAAAAACAGCTCAGTTTTCATTAAATATAATTGTTGAAGATTTTTTCCTAAAATCAGGAGGAATAATAAAGAAATAAAAGAAAGCTAAAAATACTCATTACAAAGTTTTTTTAAAGGCATATTAGATTTTACAATATTCAAATCTAGATATGTGATCTCAAATCTGCTATGATTATATGCATTATAATTCACCATAATTAAGAACTTTATCATCTACTAAAGGCTAAAAAACAAGTGGGATTCTTTAAGTCTTGAAGAAGTTTCACAGTACATTTAAGTCAAGTCTAAATGTAGTACAATCACTGAAAAGATGGGGAAGTGGGGAAAGAATAGACTAATGAGCTTTTATTAAAATGGAAATGAAAAGATATTATAAATGTCTAACATTATTCTGTATTGTGAATGAACTATGATGCCCCTAAAACCATTGCTAAAAAGGCAGATGGAGTAAAGTGCCTAGCACAGTGCCCAGCACATAGTAGGAACTTAATAAATGCAGATTTATTTGATGGATTAAGGGCAAATGGCTACTGTTCTTATTTCAGTGACTCTAATGCCATTCTATCCTGTTCTGAGCAGCTGCACACCAAACTGGAGGCCCCCTCCTAATTTTTATTTTCTCTTTCCCCAAAGCCCACAGTACAGAGACTGAATAGATTTTTAGAGGCAGGTATTGGGTTTGGGGATGTGTACAGTCAGAGGTAGTGGGGAATAAGCACTATAGTTTCTATGTTTTTCACCTAATTTTGAAATTATAAGTGAGTAAGTGATAATTTTTAAAAACACGCAGCACCTTATTAAAGTATTTAGTGATCTCATGTAGTAGGAATGATTTTACCCATACAGGAAACCAGCAATGAATACCACATAATTGACCATTGAAAGAAGTATAAATTTCTGATCTTAATGAAATATGGATTCAGGGTAGGAGAAACACTTCAATTTCAGAAAAATATTCTAATATTTAAATCACAAAATGAAAGATGTCCTATAAGAAGCTAATAAAGTACCCCTTTTTATTACTCCAAAACCTGGGGAAGCTAGGTGGTACAGTGGTTAGAGCTCTGGTCTTGGCCTCAGGAGGACCTGAGTTCAAATCCAGCCTCAGATACTTGACACTTATTAGCTGTGTGATCCTGGACAAGTCACTTAATCCCAACTGCCTCACCAAAAAGCAAAAAAAAAAAAAAAAATTACTGGAAACTTACCTAAGAATGTATTAAATAGGTTAAAAGTAGAGTTCAATTAAAATATTTTTTAAAAGTCTCCAAGTTAGATAAATGAAAAGAGTATAATATTTTTCATTAAATATGATCAGAGGTCAAATTTGGGGAATACATATACTCAGATACATATATGAGATGGTTAATCATTAAAGAATGAGATATATGAAAATGTGTGGTTCTATATAGACATAAAGCAGTAATTTCAGCACCTTCCAGTTTTAAAAAAATCATGCCTGTTCCTTGTCTATCAGGAAAACATTTAAGTGGTGTGCTTTCACATTTAAAAATAGACGTCTAATCTCTAACACAGAGCACCATATTTTCAGTGGGAGGCAAGTAGGAGAGTGAGAACTGCAATGAAGGAAGCACAGAGACTGCTTTAAGAGCTGAAGATATATGAAAGACATCTTTTTAGGCAATTACCTATAATATTAATAAAAGTACGTGAGCAATTATAGCCATTGAAAGCTGAATTTTAAATATGTTAATCAGCTGTATTGGTGTGATCCAAAGATATCTGTGTTAAAAACCAAAGTTATTTAAATTAAAGGTATGAATTCTATTTCTAGAGAAATATTTTTTATGTCTTTACTCACATGGAAATAAGCTTCAAATAAATTATTATTTTTAATGCTGTTTAGGGTGTAATATAATCAACAAACATTTAACATAACTATATGTTTTAAAAGAGAGGAATATACGATTTTGTATTAAGCTAATGGGAATTCATTAGTATAAAACTATCAGTTACACATAACACAGGAATAATTGGTTCATTCAAACACAGCAAAATTACTGTTTTTCTCATTAGTTTTCTAAAGGAGGCTTTAAAGTTCACAATTTTGCTATTTAAAAAACATTTATTTGAGAGACTGAACAACTAGAAATGAGAAATACACAAAAAGCTGCTACATTTGAAGAAGTGATTGCATAGTTAACATAAATTATACCACCACAGCATTTAAAAATACGCATACAATACAGTTAAATAAACTAAGGAAATTATATTTGGATACTAGCAATGCAACTCTTTACATTTCTATTCATAGAGCAATAAATAAATCAGAAAGGTAAAAAAGTACGCTTTCTAAATGCATTACTAAAAAACCCCTAATATAGTATGTGTGTATGACAATATTTCCTGATTTTTTTTGTTACAAAATTTCCACTGCTAATTTTAGTTCACAACTGTTGCATAAAGCATTCATTTGATAAAAGGATCTCTCACCCATACAAGTATAACTTCAAGATGATCAACTGGCAAAAAAGGATAGTTTCTTTTGAGACTAAAAAGAAATCCAAAAAGCATGCTTTTAGTTTTTTTTTTTCTATTTAAGAAGAATGCCCTAGAAGTAGAAAGGACACAAACAATTACTGAATAAGTAATAATGATGCTATTTAAGATTATATATACCTCAGGCTTCAGATCTCTATGTACCACTCCCACATCATGCATGTGGCTTACAGCTGAAACAAGCTTCCGCATGATATAACTGGCTTCAGTCTCACTGAAGTGTTTCTTTTTCTTAATTCGTTCAAAGAGCTCTCCCCCATTCAGAAGTTCCATCACCAGAAATGTGTGAAGCTAGAAAACAAATACAATTGTGTGTGGAATTCTTAATATTGGTAAGTCTGTGTTAATGCTAAGTCTTTATGACATTTTCGATAATTTATTATGAGCATTACAAATTGTGTTTTACACTTGGATGAGTCAAAGGTTTAATCAGTGAAGCTTTATCTTCCACCGATGCAATTAATGATCCCATCAAATGTTCCCATTTTGTGCTATCTGAATCCATGTTTTTTCATCAATCATTCATATAGGGTCTACCTAATCTGCTGGAGAACTTCTCAGGGGTATCAGGCAACACTTGGCCTTTCCATCTGTTGTCCCTAAATAACCCCTAAATAACTAGGGGTTTGTGAAATGTTAAAAACATTTTTTTAATTTTAATTTTTTGGTTCAGATCTGTGACTTCACTGGTATAAGAAACTTCCGGGAAGGAAACCCTAACAATACAGATCAGCATCTGTTTTGCAACTTAAAATCTTACTAAAGAACTGTTAGCATCATTCCGATGTTGAATGATTGTCCCAGAGTAACACAGCCAGTATTTGTCAGAGGTGTGACTTGAACTCAGCTCTTCTTGACTATTAAGGCTACCTTTCTATCCAATCAGCCAAACACCTTCACTTGTATGTATTTCAAAATATATAGTCTCCTTGTTAAAATAATAGGTGTTCAAAGTAACAAAATAAAGGAAAAATGAGGAAAATTATGGCTCTTTAGAATTTCATTTGGGTGATGATGGAAAATCTAAAATACCATAGTAAAATATTTGCATATCTTTTTCCTGAATGATTTCCTGGGAATTCCATGCAATACAAAGGTGTTACACAATAGGAAGAATGCTGAAATTCAAGCCTGCTTTTAAAGCCTTGCTTTGCTACTTACTACTCTGTGAACCTGATTCTGTGGCTGACCTACACTTCTGAGCCCATTTCCTCATCTGTAAAACAAAGGATTATACTAGATGACCTTTGAGGTCCCTTCCAACTCCAAACCCATAATCCTAGATGGCCTGGGTTCTTAACTTTGGATCTCTGGAGAGATTTCAGGGGGCCCATGAACTTACATTTTAATTTTTACTATTTTTTTCAATTTCGCATTTTCTTCAGTTATGAATGTAGGAAATAAAACATTATTCTGAGAAGGGGTCTACAGGTTTCATCAGACTGCCAAAGGAGTCAATGACATTAAAAAGGTTAGGCATCCCTGCTCTACGGAAAGAATTACTTCAACCCTCACAATCTAGTTTTTTTTTTGACTAAGAAGTAGAAACAGCGTTGATCTTTACTTTTAAGAGCATACAGACCAGACTATGGTCTTTCTTAAAAATAAAGAAGATCAATGATTACTTTGGATTCCCCTCCCTGACTGAGAGCATGATACAACTATTTAATGGCAGACTTAACTTCAAAAGGTATAAAAATGTTTTTCTACCACCTGGTCTCAGTGTTAGCCAAGTAATCAGTTTCAGAGCTCCTATGAATACCTATGACAAACACCTATGTGTCAAGCTGCCAATGCATTATGATGGAAATTTACAAGTGACACTCTATGTCTTTACACTTACCTTTGATCTCAAATTCATGAAAGTTCAGATACTGTGCCATGATTAATTACACTGTTTCTTTCATAAATTAGATAAGCTTTGCATGTGTTTTATTACCAAATATTAACATAGGAGCTATTGAAAAAGTACATTTTAAAATTAAATCTTAAAGAATTCTCAAATTTAGAAAAAGGGTAAAATATTCAAATTATAAGGCCCAAGCATAACTGCATTGTTATCTTCTTTAATAATTCAAGAATCTATGTCCTTTGCTATCACAAATAATAACCCTATCACAACTTGGAAGTTAGTTTTCAACAACTGCTATGGCAAAAAATTTGGTCAATTTTGGTCGACCTGATGATAAGCATCTCCAAATTTAACTAGGCTAGCTCTAAAATGATGAAGGGAAGATCTGTTGGTAAGCCATCCTCCAAACTTTCCAGACTTTCCACTAGCACTGACACTGAGACCCCCAAGGACACCTCCATTTCATGATGACATATAAGAATAGGACTTGAGTGGAAATTCACTGTCATCTAATATCATCTGAATATAGCATGTTTCTTTTCTACTTGGTAAAAAAAAATACAATGCAAAGTCTGTTAAATTAAGTGCATCATTCCAGTATGTAATGAACAAGATATAAAAGTGAACTGTTACCTCTCTATGAGACCAACTCTTAGGCTATCAAAGACCAAGCTAATTTGACATAATTTTTCATGGATGAAGAAGGTCAAGGTTAAACATTTAATATACATTTGAGTCAGTTGGCTTCATAAAGAGAATACTATTCCACATTCACAGTCTGAAGCCATACCTCTCATCCAGCTGCTGTTATTAGTTACAAAGAATGGATGGTATGAGAGTATGGCTCAGGAAAATCCAGCAACACTACTGGAAAATCAATCAACCAACAAGGATTTATTAAGTGCCTATATACTGTAGTAGGTACTGGGGACATAAATACAAATATGACATAATCCCTGTGTTCAAGGAATTAAGAAAATAATTTTAAAAATAAGTTATTCTGATGAAAAGTTAACAGAGTTTTCACATAGGAAGAATACCACATTTATATAAGAAAATATGGGATTGTATCATATGAGAAGCAATTTGTTCTGATGGCTCCTCTGCATAAAAAGTAAGAAATAGCATAAAACTAATACAAACACACATAATAACTTTTGACTATATAAATATAAACTAGGCATTAGGAATCTGGTACCTGAGATCTGCTGTCAACCTGCCAGTCAGGGGCCAATCCCCTCTGATGCCACCTGCTTGGAGATTAATCTGAGATTTTTTTTTAATGCATAGTAGCTTCAGAACTCTAGCTGGCAAGTCTTACCTCTGACTTTTAGGTTGGAAATAGGTTTCAGATGCCCCTTGATATCTTGGGTGGTGATATGGGGACAGGAGGATACAGTGCCCCTCATAATTCAGCACATTAACAACACCTGAAAGTGGGAATAAGCAGGAGGGAGGGAGGAAGGAAGGAAAGGAGAAGCCAGTAATAGGAACTGGTACAGGAGGAAAGTCTGAAAAATGTTGCCGCTGCCACTGGTCACATCTTTTCCTCTGGCTCCTACAACTTCAGCTTTGTTCTCACAGCATGGACACTGATCCTGGGTGCGTGGTTTCAAAGCCATAAGTTCTTCTCCAATCCCAAGTGCCTTCAGTTAAGCTGATTCTCTGACCCTTGATGAGAACAAAAGGCTGAGGGACACTGCATCCAAATGCTTAGGTGGCTGCAGACACAATGATCTGGGGTCCCTCAAACATTATTTTCTCTATCAGCTTAGCTATATTTAATGCAACTTCTCTTCTCACTGCCAGCTTGCTCACACTAATCTGTCTCTTGACCCCACTATAATTCCACTAGCCTGGTCAGATATTTCAGTGAATGAGGGTAGCACACTAGAGCTGTCCTAGGTCAATAATGTCATGGTTCCTAGTAGAAAGACAAGAAAGCTGAGATAAAAGGAAAAATAGAGGCTGGCACTTGGCTTCTGATTTAAGCTGGTCTTATTATCTGGAACAGGGTAAATAACATTAAATTTACACTTTCGGGTGTCTCCTTTACTTTCTGCCTAAAGAGGCTAGGATGCGAGGCTTTAAGAGCCCCTCTAGGAAAGAAGGGATTGCTGAGTAACTATCTATCCAGTACTGGGGAAGGTAGGCGTCCTAGGAATTAGGTTACAGCTATGGCAGTTGAATCATCAAAAAAAAAAAAAAATGTAGCTAGTAGCAGTGATAGCATTGTCCAGATCCCACTAACATTTAACCCGTGTACCACAATCAGCCCTTCCTTCCTTTAATTGAGTGCAATTTGATTCATTTCAATAAACATTTATCAAGGATTACTACTGTATGAGCTATGCACTATACTAGGTAACAGGAAAACAAAGATGAAACATTTATTAAATGTCTTCTTCCATTTTATGTGCAATTGCATATAACCACATACCTAGTTTGGACAGGTATATGAATCTGATATAAAGATTTTGGGGAGGGGAGTAGGTGCTGTTCCAATGGCATGTGAAATTTCTTTCCTATCATGACCTGTAGTGTCACTCAAAATGGCATTAAAGCCACAAAAAGACTGTCAAATGAGCTATATGTTTTCATTTTTGCCAACAGTACTCTTCCAAATTAAAAATAAGTCACCATCAGGATTTACTATTTGAATGTATAATTAATTACTGTTAGTGTTTAAAGTAATCAACTTTTTGTTAAAGTTAATTCCTTAGAACTAAAGGAACCAACCAACCAAAAAAAAGGGAATATGGACCAAATACAAAATAAATGCTTATAGGATAATTAGTTACATGATCAAAGAAATGACTTCTTAACATTCTGAGAGTTAAAAGGAGGGTACTGGAAAAATAAAGGACCCCCTATATTAATTGATTTTGAAGAGTCTCTAACAATACATAAGAGAAAAGATTAATATGTGGTCTAATTTTAGTATATGTTTTTATTATGATAAATGGTATGTTTATATCAAACCATCCTGTCAGTTAATGGTAGGCAAAGAAACGATAATGCTTATGTTTAGCAGTGAAATACCTGATCATGATAAACTTCATACAACTTCACTATATTGGGGTGTCCTTCACAGAGTTTCAAAGCTGTTATTTCTTTCTGAGTGTTGGCTTCCATTCTGTAAAATGAAGCAGCCATATTGTACCAATCTATTCAAGCATATTTCCAATCCAATACTACCCTAAATCTAATTCTGTTTTTATTTAATGTGCACCAAAAACTTAAAATCAGTGTTAGGGCAGAACAAAATTTCTGTGAAAGTAATGACTTGTACAGTTCATTTGGACAAGCAGTCCATTTATTTCAGAGAAAATCACTGTCTGAGTCCCTAAAAACCAAGTCAAATGATAATATTCCCTATGTCTCATAATTTGGTAATTGTATTATGTGGTACAATTACAGAAGTCAGAACAATCATTTACTAAAACACATCTCTTTGCTAGTCCTAATAATAACCCTTAGTAACCTAGTATCTTTTTTATTAGAAATGTTTTATTGATGATTTTAAAAATATTGTTATCATGCCTCAATGACTCTCCCCATTGTATTCCCCAAAAGAACTCTTCCTTGTAAAAAGGAAGTACAGTCAGGTAAATCAAATCAAGACATTCTGACAATGCTAGACTAATTTCTAAGGAAAAGTAATTGCATACATTCAATAGCATCTAAAAAAATCCAGACAAATCTGATTATTAGTAACACTTAATAAAACCATCTCAGTTAAATGTCCCTGTCAGAAGCAAAGAACATTTCTATTAAAATGCATTATAAGGATACACGCTGTCTGTGAAAAAAAATTGTTACTATAAAGTACAATATCTAGTGTAAACTATTATTTTGAGACAGCATGTCATAATGAAAAGAACACTAGATAAGGAATTAAAAGAAATGTGTTAAAATTATGACTCTTCCACTTATAAGCTATATGACCTTGGTCAAGTACCTTAACTTCTCTGAGTCTCATTTATAAAATTAGAAAAATAATATGTGTACAAGCTGGTTCTCACAGGGCTATTGTAAGAAATGAAATAATGTATGTTAAACTGTGATGTAAAGTACTAAATCAGTATATGTTATTATGAATCAAAGGACTGAACCTCTGAGTACAATCCTAAAAATGTTTTGAATCATGATTTTTTTAGGAAAAACTTCATTTATAATATTAATTAGATGGTATGGGTATAAAAACACAAAAATATTTTTAAAAACATTTATACCTTTTGCTTATTATTTTGACTGCATATTCTTGGTTGCTTTTCCTATGTAAACATTTTCGACAAATTGAAAAACTTCCTTCTCCCAAAGGTTTGTCTTTAAGATCTAGGTCATAGTGCTGATAAAATGGAGAGTCCTAGAAACAAATCAACAATGTATAACTTAGAGAAATAACATTAATATACAATACTTAAAAGACCATCTTAGAATATTGATTAATATTTGATATTCACTAAAACAAAGTTCTAATATTTTTATTTCTTTCATCCTTGTTAAAATTCATTTAAATTATGTAACCCTATTATACTGTTTTTAAAAGCTGTATCAGCATTTAACAGTTCTTTAGAACAAAAGGTACAAATCAAACATCTTCAGAGCATTTTTTCTCACATTAAGACTTTAATAAATCATAGACCTCTTAAGAAACAAATATTACTATTAAAGTACTCATATCAGAATTCATTCAAGCCACAAATACATTCTTTAGCTTAAAAAAAATCTATCTACCTTCATCATTGCACTCCTGGCGACATTTGTTATTCCTGGACGTTCAATTCCCATGTGAAACTGAAGAGGATCTATGACAGCTGCATTACGTTTAAATAAGATAGAAGGAGCAACAAAAGAATACCCCTGGGGGTGGAGAGAAATAAAAAAAAAATATGATAAAGGTTATAGACCGAAAATATTAAGTTTAGGCTGCTAGGATTCTAGAATTTTTGAAGAAAGGAAAAAAATTAAAAGATGGGTAGCTATTATTTTATTTAAGGTTTAAGACACATTTTTGTTAGAAATCAAAAGGTAGAGAGATGCTTTTTAGAAGAAAAATATGCCACCTTCTGGCATAGTTAAATTAATTTAAAATTAATAAATTTTAAAAAATGCTTTCTTTGTCATCTCAAAAAAATGATTCTTAACTTCAGTTCTTTTTCATTGGTAACAAAAGCACACATTTCAAAGTGGCTAGATTTCAAAGAAACATATAGTTAGGGAATTAAAAAGAAGCTGAGTTGATACTAGAATAAGTGCTATTTTAAATTGGAAAAGTGGGTTTCACCATAAAGTTTACAATTTGTGAACACTTGATCCTATTACTGGATTAATTTAGCCCAATTAAATTTAAGGTCAAAGTTTCATGCAATTTACAAACATAATATAGTATACTAATGCAATGATATATCAACAGGACAATGATGCTTAATCCTGATTAAGATTACTAAATAATATATTTGTTTGTATTTGTATTTGTAATCCATGATTTAAAGAAATAAAGCCTATTAGTCAGAATATAAAATCTCAAAGTATAATAAAAATCATTTTTAAATTGAAAAATCTTTTTTAAATGCTTAACAAGTGGAAAGTAATTAAAAATAACTATCTAACATAAAAAGTGAAACCAACAATTGTAATGATCAACATTTCACTCTATACAGAAGTAAAATAATTAAGCACATTTTCTATAAAAAAGTTTTGAGAAATAAAAGCTATCATATAGAACTACAAATAAATTAATTTTTTGCATATCAAACTCTTTTTCTTCTTTTTTTGGCCTGGACCTGTGATTTCATCAATGTAGGGAGCACCTAGAATACTCGTAGAATACTCTCTGCCAACGTAGATTAGCCCCTCACCAACAATTTACAGAGTTGCCTGGGGACAAAAAGAACTTAAATGGGTTACTGAGAGCCATAACCTCTAAGTGTCAGAGGTAAGACTTCAATCCGGGTCTTCTTGACTCCAGCAGTGGTTCTGCATTTACTACACCATGCTGCCTCTCATATAGCAATAATAAACTCTTAAAATACCTTAAAATAATAACTATAAAATAAACCATAACATCTAGCAAATGTAACTGATAGCTGTAGCCTTTCAATACCCCCTTGCACTAAATTAAGAAACATTTAAAGAACATTTTCTTAAAAGACTGTTAAAAACATGTAAAGACAGGAAAAACTAATAATCAATTTTCTAAACATATGTACACTAAATATATAAAGGTATTTAGAGAGATCTGCTTTTTAAAATTACCTGAAATAGCCTCTCTGAACTCTGAGGCAGAGCCGCAGGAGAATATGTGGGATCCATTTCTGTAAACTCCTCTGCAAAATTACTGACATCTAACTCATCCCGGATTACTGGTTTAAATGGTGCTGGCACTTTTTTGGCAGCTAAATCATCCCAATTTATTTTCTAAAGCAAAAAGTAAAATTAAAATTAAGTAGTAATTAACAAAATAAGATAACAGAGAAAAATGATTTTGAATAGAATCACTAAATTTCAACAAATTGGACTAAAGGTAGTTAAGAGTTTAATTCCGTGACTTTAAAGAAAATGTAAATCACAGCTGTCATTCAGAATGCTACTACTGAAAGGTACCATGTATTTTAGAATACTGTGGTATCCTCCAGGGGGCACTGCAATATACTAGTTTAGAGCCAACAAAAAAGGAAAAAAACTTCTTTCATCCAGAAGTTTCTTGAAAGGTAGCAGGCTAAAGCAAAAATACAAAAATTTAAAATTCTCACCAAAGAGACCAGTTGCTATTCAATTATTCTTTTCTGATATAATTAGAGTTGTGAAAAATCCTCTTCTTGCCCCTAATTTCATTCTTCATTCCCAACAGGCACAGAGCTCTCACCTTCTCTCAAGTCTCAGCCCACATCTCGCCCTGTCTCCCGCCCCTCTCCTCCCCTCCCTCGACTTCTCTCCTTTTCAGAATTGAATTATGTTCACTGATCCTATTCTTTTTCTTTTAGTAGTTTTCTAATCAACTGATGCAGATTGTTTGGGAAGAAAGTGGTATTTGGAGGAGGAAGGATTGCATGATCCTATAGAAGGTTTAAGGAGTTTCTAAATATTAAAAATATGATAATAGATAAAAACCTCATTCAAATTTTTTTCAATTCCTCTTAACTCTATTTTCCATAGCAATATTTACCCTGATAGTAAAACATACTTGGTAGTACTAGATTAAAGTTATAACCTGACATCTTTCCTTCTTATTTATGTCCTTCCTAGTACTTTAACAAATTAGTCTTTTAAAAACTTAAAAAACAAAACAAAACCCAGTCTCAATACATTCCCCTAAATGTTTATTTCAGAATGTCTTTTTAAATGATTCTGGGTATATAGTGTGAGGCAGTGACTAGTTACCAATAGTGACTATGTGACAGAAACTAACAGTATGGAGAGTAATAAAAAAAGCTAATGAACCTATATATTCCTACAGACATTGCTCTATTAAATTTAATCAGCTAATACAAAGTGTTTTCCTTATGCCCTCTTGTGGAAGAAGTGGGAATAAATTTGATCATAGAATTTTCAAATTTGAAGGGACCTTCAAGATATCCTAGTTCAACCCCTTCAATTCCATAAATTATGATCTTAAAATCTAGAGAGGAAAGTGACTTGTGCTGTTTTCATTGACACAGTAATGGTTTCCATTCAAAATGAATCATCCGTTGGAGCCTTGAATAGTTGGAGAGCATCCAGAAGGGCAACCTGGATATCGAAGGGTTCTGAGTTCATGACCAGTTGAAGGATATGGGGACATTTAGTTTGAGGAAGAAAAGATGTACAAGGGACAAGATCAGTGTCTTTAAGTACTTAAGGGCTGTCATCTGCAAGAGTGATCAGAATCTTTCTCTTCAGGCCCAGAGGGAAGAGTTATGAGCATTAGATAGAAATTGAAAGAAAAAAAAGGCTTGAAGTAAGGAAACACTTCTTAATAGTTATTTACACAGAAGTGAAATGAATTGCTTAGGCAGCCTGGGCAGTGCTATGTAAAGATTGAATGGGTTTGGAGTCAAGAAGTTACTATGGTTATTCAATCATGTATGACTCTTCGTGACTCCGTGGACCATAGCAAGCCAATATTGTCCACCGGGTTTTCTTGGCAAGGATATCAAAGTAGTTTGTCATTTGCTTCTCCAATGGACTCAGGCAAACACAGATTAAATAACTTGTCCAGGGTCACAAAGTAGTAAGTGTCTGAGGCTGGATTTGAACTCAGGTCTTCCTGACTCCAGGGCCACAGCTCTATCCACCGAGCCATCGAGCTGCCCCTGCAGTCAAGAAGAATCGAGTTCAAATCCTGTCTCAGACACCCAGCTATTAGGCTAGGCCATGCTGGGCAAGTCACCTAAGTCACTTATCTCACTCTGAGTTTTCTCATTTGTAAAATGAGGGGGTTGGACCTGATGGCCTCTGAGGTCTTTTCTGGCTCTAAATCTGTGAGGGTGTAGTCCGAGATGTGCTGACTGACCTTCTTCACTGGACATCTCCAGAGCCTGGGTATCCAGTTGTTCAGGATGTCAAAGAGGGGATCAACCCTTTTTCAGACATGACTTGGACTAGAAGGCTACTGAGACGCCTTCCAATTCTTAAATTCTATTAATTTTATTGACTGAGGTTAATTTTTAAGCCAAACTGCTGAATTTTATCTTTGAAAAGAGAGATGGTATTGTTAGTTTAAACACTAATCTTTCTAGGTATATGACATTACAGAGCTTGCAGTTGTATCTTGAGAAATTCACTTTATTTTTAAAAGACTCAGAAACTCATCATAGATTGTAGGTTTGTCTTCAAAACTTGGCAGTCCTTAACATAAATTGAAAATTTTGATATCAGCTATCCAAAGTTTATTCTAAGAAACACATTTTTACTTTTGATTTTTTTTAATACTCAAAATCTTCTTGGTTTCAATGATTTTTTTTCATGTCTTCTGGGTAAATGTCATACAAAGATTTTTCTTAGAAAGAAAAGGAACCCAAAAAGTTGATAGTGACTTTGGATTATAAATATTCTCAGGTCATACTTCATTGTTGTTGTTCAGGTGTTTCGGTGGTGTCTGACTCTTCATGACCCCATTTGGGATGTTCTTGGCAAAGATACTGGAGTGATTTGCCATTTTCTTCCCCAGATCATTTTACAGATGAGGAATTTGAGGCAAACAGGGTTAAGTGTCTTGTCCATAATGGGGTCACACAGCTAGCAAGTGTCTGAAGCCAGATTTGAACGCTTGAAGATGAGTCTTCCTGACTTTGGCCCAGAACTCTGTCCAGTGCACCACTTACCTGATTCTTCATTAATATGATGTTACTGCTTTGAAATCAAAATCACAGTAGCCAGGCTAGCAATGCTGCATCTTTAGAGAGATACTAAGTTTGATGGATTTGTCCTGTCAATTTCATAATCCAAAGAGTAAAAAAAAAAAAATTATTCCCCCTTCCCCCAATAACAATCTTCTGGAATTTTTCTGGGCAATACTGACCAAAATAAATAACTAAATTGATGGCTGAAGACAGTTATTAATCTTAAAAAATCATAGGTAAAAACCACTATAAAAAGTAAAAAGCAATCCTATACTACAGATAAATCACCAAGAAATACGTAGATTCTAAATTAGCCAAGAGATCTCTTATAGAAAAAGAAAAACACACACACCCTGGCATATTCAAGGCCTCTTTGTAAAATAAAAAAAAATTTACTTGCATAAAAGTTGATAAAGTGATAGCAATATCTAATAAAATGAAAGTGACATAAAATTAGAATATATAAATAGAAATTAATTTCTGGATTCAACCAATTCAACCAATGTGGTCCAATGGCATCATATTTTCACATGATATGAGGATAGTAGCAGCCTTAAAAGAAAATAACAATAAAAATGACTCAGGGCAAAGATTATGGACAATCATTTTATAGAGCACAGTATTATACACACAGTCGACACAATAAATATTAACTGAATTAATTTCACCTGAAAGAAGGGATGCTCTTTGATTTCATCTGCATCTCGTGGACCGCAACCCAATCTTTTCTTAGGATCTTTCATCAAGAGATGCTGAATTATATCTTTAGCTAAAGCACTCATTTCTTGGGGATATGGAGGTTCACTTTTTAATATTCTCCTGTAGATAAATATTTGCTATTAAAATATAACATCCATAGTAGATGGCTAAATTAAGTATTTCCTTTAGAAAACAGTGTTAAGATACTTTATAATTGAATTAGGCCTTGAAAAATTTTACTTAAAAACATGTTTAAACATGAGGTACTGGGTTCTTAAATGGAAGGCAATCAAGAATGAAAATTAAGGCATCATCCTTCAATAAAAAATTAAATATACTTTGATCTTTCCCTTTCTATTGATTCTATCCCAGCTATCTATGATTATTCCCAAGTTTCTCCATTCATTGAAAACAAAAATACTCATACTTTCCCTTGATGCTGTCATCCCCTCAAGCTACTGTGTTAAATCTCTCCTGTGTTATACTTAATGAGATTTTAGTTTGGAATTAAAGGAAGCCAGGGGAGTCAGCAGGCAGAGATGAGGAGGGAGAGTATTCCAGGCATTGGAGACAGCCAGAGAAAATGTCCAGGAGATGAAGTGTCTTGTTTGTGGAACAGCCAGGTCAGTGTCACTGGGAGGATGGTGCTGCCCTCTACAGAATAGGGAAAGTAGGAGGGGGACAGAATTTAGGAGGAATGATGAGTTCATTTTGGACATATTAAGTTTAAGAAATCTACTGGACATCTACATAGAGATATCTGAAAGGAAGGTAGAGATGTGAGATCAGACCTCAGCAGAGTTTCGGGCAGGATAGGTGGATGTGAAAATCATTAGCATAGAGACAGTAATTAAAAAAAAACCCTTTATTTTTAACATTAATTTTTTAAAATTGGGTTACAAATTCTCTCCTTCTTGTCATCTCTCCCCCACCCACTGAGAAAGCAAGCTGTATGATATCAATTATACATGTGAAGTCATACAAAAAATTTCCACATTAATCATGTTACAAAAATAGGTGAGAAAAATAAAGTGAAAAAAGTATTCTTCAATCTGCATAGAGATAGTAATTAAATCCATGGTAGCTTATGAGATTATCAAGTCAAGTACTATGGAGGGAGAAGAAAAGAAAGCCCAGCACAGAATCCTGAGGGACATCTATGGTTAGAGGGGGTGACCTGGACGAGGATTCAGCAAAGGAGACAGAAGAAGTGGTCAAATATGTAGGATGAGGGCCAGGAAAGAGTGGTGTCCCAAAAACCTAGAGAGAAGAGAACATTAAGGAGGAGAGAGTGATAAATAGTATCCAAGGCAGCACAGAGGTCAAGAAGAATGAGGACTGAGAAAACACCACTGGATTTGGCATAAAAGATCATTAGTTAACTTTGGAGAAAGCAGTTACAGTTGAATGATAATGTTGGAAGTTGGATTGTAAGGGGTTAAGAAGAGAGTGGGAGGAGAAAAAGTCGAGGCATCTACTGTAGACAGACTTTTTGAGGACTCAGCTTTTATAAAGGGCAGAAGAGATATAGGACAACAGTGGAAATGAAAGGATCAAATGAGGATTTTTTTTCATGATGAGAGAAACATGAGCTTGTTTGTAGGCAATGAATTGGTAGTCAAGAAGAGTTTGAAAATAAATGATAGAGTGGGGATGACAGAGGGGAACACTGTTAGAGGAGATGGGATGGAATATCTTGGAGGAGGGAGAGACTGATGTCAAAAATTGTAAAAAGGTTGAGGACTATGACTGAGGAAATGTGAAAGTATTTAGCTGATGAGATTGCTGATAACGTGAAAGAACAGTTTCAGCAGACTGGTGGTGCTGGAAATTCCAAGGGGAAGAGAAGTGTGGAAGTGGAGGCAGCAAAAACAGACAATTTTTTGTAGGATTCTAGAAGAACAAGGACTCCTGTGGAAAACAATGAGATTAAACTGGAGGCCAGACTACAGCAAAAAAGGATATTGTAGGAGTGATATAGAAGGATGGAATAAATTGATAAGATAATGCTTTCTCTGACAATGTCAATCATGCTTTTCGTTTAAGCACATCTTTTTGCTTTTTAGGACATGTGTAACTATTTCAAACCATAATTTCCCATTTCCCTTGAACCTTCATAAACATAATGCTAAACTATTTTAAAATGGGGTTCAGTGGTGACCTGGTTCAAAGTAATGAAATTTTCAAAATCAAAATTTCATTTTGTGATTTGTAACAACATTTTGTCAAATAAATGTATGAAATCAATAAAGCTTTCTCAATATCCGAAGACAAAAATAAAAGAAAAAGGAAATTAGAAATAAACCATCTCAAACAGTCTCTGAAAATAAGATATCAAAAAAGTTCTTTAAAATATTTTATTAGCTGAAAATAATTTACATTTGTTTTTCAAATAATTATGAGCAAGAAAGCATCTTGACAATAATAAGATCAAAGTGAAAAAATAGAAAGGCAGCTGGCCCTGCTCTATTCTTATAGTCACATTTTTAACAGTAAGAATTAGAAATTAGAAAATGTGAATTAGAATGTAAGTTCATTGTGAGTAGGGATTGTTTTGTTATTCGTACTTATATCCCCAAGGCTGAACATGGTGCCTGACACATAGAAGGTGCTTAATAAATACTTGATGACTGACTTATTGATTAAAAGAGCATTACTTTCGCTGGTAGTAAGAAAATGGAAACAAAGGACTACCTAAATAAATTGTGGTACATGAAGAAACAATGGCATCTCTCAACAGACTATACATTATAGGGTAGGTACCAATTTTTATTGGGAGAAGAAGTTTCTTGGCGTTTACCAATGAAATTTCAGGTTAAAACAAAGAATGCTTAATATAAAGAATTCAGAGATGTATGGAAAAACACGAATTAATGAAAAGTGAAATATGCAGAATTCAGAAATAAATGTACAAAATGACTATAATAATGTAAATGGGAATTTAAAACAAACAAAAAGAAACTGAATGCTGTACAATCACAATGACTCAGAAGAAGAGGTACGAAAAATCTATTTCTCTCCCATCATGTTGGATGAAATATGAGTGTAAAACACTGTATATGCCATCAGATTCAGTTGTAGTGTTGGTTAGCTTTGATAAACTCCTTTATTTTTCTTTCTTTGTTTATTCTTTGTTAAATGGGTAGGGCAGGAAGGAGGGATAAATTTGGAAATGAAGTTCATACAAAAAGAAAAAATATTTAAAAGAAAATTAGTGAGCAAGAAAAATAATAATGTTGATTACTTTAAATTCTGCAATTTTATTATATGTATTCATATAACATTTATGTATCTATCTTTAAATAGAAATTCTTGATATAAAGTTATTTTATTTTAGTGATTAAAGATATGTATAAAAATATTTAATATATACATGTATATTGCATGTATAATTTTGTGAGCTTCTAGAAGCTTGATATAGTAGCTAAAGAAATTTGTTCGTGGAGTCACCAAGACCTGCCTTCAAGGCCTACATCTGACAAATACTAACTATGTAAGCATAGGCAAGTCACTAACACTCTTAGTATACATGAAACTCTGTAAGACTACAAGTTAAAGATGAATAGCTTATCTGCAATGAAGGAATTTTCATTATTTTGCATTACCCATCCAGGAGGGGAGGAATACATAATTTTAGTGGTTCATGGTAGAGAATTTATAGGTTTTCAGTATACTTTAGGTTGGTAAAACTTTATAATGAGAGTGATTAGCTTAAGAGGAAAATTCATGTCATCAGCTATGTTTAAAAATTGCAACAAAAATCTAGAACAGATTTTAAAAATTGTATAAAAAGAATTGCTAAATATATTATACAATGGATACCTGATTGAAGCATCAAAATATCTTATTTAATTTCATGATCTTCTCTAGCTTTTAGATTTTGGATAGTCCAATTTAGATAAGAGGGAATTTTGAAATAGAAATTAAGCCTATTATAGTAAAAAAAAAAAAAAACATTTTTGAGACCAGAAATAATTGGCATGCTCATCCCTAATCCCAACTTCTCATTCCCTAATCCCAACTTCTCATTCTCTCATTCTCATTCACCTGAATCCTACTCTTTCTGAGTCCCACTCCAGCCTTTCCCACTCATTCCACTGTGTGTCCTTTGGAACTCCTATTTCATAGTTAACTATTAGCATAGAATTTTAATAGCTTAAAACTGCACTAAAACTTTTGAAATACTATATATATGAGCAAAACTCTGTCCTGTGTAATGTCTTGAGTCATTCTTATGTAAAAGGCGACTTTCAATTTATTTCTCTTTCTTCTAATGTTTATATTATTACATTTTAAAAAATCTATACATTTAATTAGAGGTGGTATGGCATAATAGAAAGTTGGCCTTAGAGTCGGGAAGACCTGCATTCAAGTCCTTCTCTGACATATGCAGTAATTCTGAGCAAATCATTCAACATTTTAGTACCCCAGGCAGCTCTTCCAGACTAGAAATTGCAAAAGAGTTGTCAATTAACATTGTTAAATCAAGCTTCTCAGAATTTTCTTACACAAATGGAATCATAAATTAATTCAAAGATAAAAAAGAGAATCCAAACTCTCAAAATACTTAATATAATGATGGAATTAGTCTGGGTTGTGAGTTCTATCACCAATATTGTTTTATAAGCAATATAAACATGAATATTTTTTATATTAACAATGTATAGCTACTAAATTATAATGAGATTTTTGTATTTCTTTAAAAGATTATTAGTTTTTACAAGTTAGGCCATTATAAAAGTAATAAAGAAGAACATTCAGGTATAAAACTCTTAAAAACTAAAAAAGCGGGGCAGCTAGGTGGCGCAGTGGATAAAGCACCAGCCCTGAAGTCAGGAGGACCTGAGTTCAAATCCGACTTCAGACCAAACACTTGACACTTACTAGCTGTGTGACCCTGAGCAAGTCACTTAATCCCAATTGCCTAAAAAACAAAACAAAACAAAAAAACCCCCCAAAACTAAAAAAGCTTTTGGTATTATTCCAAGGTAATATGGTATAAAAATAATTTAAAAAAACTATTCATGTCACGTTTCCATAACTTATAAATAAGATGTTACGTTTAAATAAATCTTTATCTTGTTTTCTCATATAATTTTTTTTTGAGTGAGGCAAGCAGGGTGAAGTGACTTGCCTAGGGTCACATAGCTAGTAAATACCAAGTATTTGAGGCTGGATTTGAACTCAGGTCCTCCTGAATCCAGGCTGGTGCTCTATCCACTATGCCATCTAGTTGCCCCACTCACATAATTTAATGAACATAAAATAGCGCCACCTTTTTTTAAATGGGAAAACTTTGATTTAAAACAGTAATTTAATCATTTAATGAATTAGTGCTAATTCTGTAATTAAGATTTCAAGACTTGTGATTTCTAGCAGTATACTCATATAAAAATAAGGTCATATCCACACTTAAAAAAGAGAGAAAGGAAATCCTTTACAATGAAATTTCTTTCAAACCTCACTATCTTTGACTAACATATGTAAATTGCTTTGATTTTCAGAGCACAAAGGAAATACAATAAAAGTGGTAAATGCTAAAGAGCAAAGGGTTATATTCTGTTGGCCATTCATAGATAGTGAGACAATAGATATTCATACATCATGGGTTGGGTAGGCAGGCCCACAATGGAGTAAGCATTACCATCTGTACTTGTCTTGAAGGTGTTGGGAACACCAGGCCTATGTCATATGTAGAATTATGATTGATTTTTTAAGTACAACTTCCCTGGACTCATGTAGAGAACTTTCTTCAAGATTATGTCACCTTTAGAAATACTATATCTTTTTTTCCCATTTAAAACAAGAACAATTCTCTGAATATTAAATATATTTGGCCACAAAAATATTTTTGGCATGCCACAAAATTCTCTACAATTCCCTGAGATTTCAAATTTAACTTTGGGACTCTTTGAATGGAGAAATAACATCTTTAATTTTATATATCTACAGCACATAGTTATATTTAAATATTAAACCAAGTTATATCTTTGACCTTAATTACTAATATAATACTTGAATGTATAGAGCATATAAAGAAGGAAAACCGAGCAAAACTGACTGGTAACAATATCTAGTCACAATACTTACATTTGAAAAAAAAGTACTGATTATATTAATAAGACTTTAAGTTAGTGTCAGTTTGTCATTCTGGATTGTACAACTCAAGGTGCAAGATTAGTTTTTAAAACACACTGACATAGGGGCAGCTAGGTGGTACAGTGGATAGAGCTCCAGCCCTGATGTCAGGAAGACCTGAGTTCAAATCCAGCCTCGGATCAAACACTTGACACTTACTAGCTGTGTGACCCTGGGCAAGTCACTTAACCCCGACTGCCTTAAAACAAAACAAAACCACACTGACAATGTTGCAATTTTTAGGTTACTTACCTCCTCTATTGAAGAACCTTAAAAATCTGTTTTAGCACAATTAATAATAAAGCTCTTTAGACAGTGAGAAAGCAACTACACAAATTTTATCTTAGATTTAAACTTTGATTTTTATATTGTTTCTGTTCACTCCTTGTAAATCAATTCTGTCTTTGTAAATCAAAATCACTAACATTCTTTCTATACAATGGTGCCGACTATATGGAAATTCTCCAAATAAGCTTTTCCAACAAACCTGAAATAAGATCATGTCTTAAATTGCTTCCTGTGGCAGCAGATTTCAATAATCAATTTCAATGAAAAACTACACATTTATTTTATTATACTTACCTAGATATTTCAGCTTGGGAATTTTTCTCTCCATCAACAGTAAACGGAGACGCTCCAGTTAATAATTCATACATAAGAACACCTAAACTCCACCAGTCAACTGCCTATAAAACAATAATCATTGCACTTTACAGAATTACTGACAAATAAGATTAAAAAGGACATAATTATTTCTATAATGAGAATTCAATAATTTTAGTAGATATTTTTAACACAAGTTTTGTACTATTTCTATAAGCATATATGTATATATATATATGTATATGTATATGTATACATGGACAAAATATTAAGGAAGGTTAAATTATCAAATGCACAAAAAAATTAGAGGACTACTACCAAGGTAATTTATTTTCCACAAATTAGGCAGTAATAACAATATAATTATATTAATGGCTTCATTTGCTCTCCCTAGTTAATTCTGGGACTCATGCCTTTGAAGAATTTATAGTAATGATCAAGTAATGACACTATAACATAAAAGTTTTCACTTGTCAGCAAGCCCCTAAATTCAAACACAAAGTATTTCCCCAAAATGAAGTCTATTAATTAGATCAATAAAAGTGGTGGGAAAGTCATGTTGAGGAATACTATTAATCATTCCCAGTGTTTTTGAGCTTGGCACATAGTCCATGCTTAATAAATGCTTGTTATTGATTGATCAATTGATTCTGAAACTTCCTAAATCAGTTTTTCTTGTGAAAAAACAAGAAAAACAATTTTCTTGTTTCAAATATACTTCAGAATCTTCAAGGAGGAGAATCATAAATTTAGATTTGAGATCCATGTGACTGGCCTGAATATGGGCTGCACCTTTCCTCTACATCTAGTGTGTACAAACACTAGAATAAGGCTGATAATTAGTGTTATTTTCAGCCTATATACTGTTTTTCTTTCAGAGAGGTATAATATTAGGGGTTTGGCTTATATTTAGGGATGGCCTACATTCAGACTAAAATTGTAAATGGTGTTATATGATTGAGAACATGGAAAAGTATATGTTTCTTTTTAAAATGCTATTTATGATGAAAATTATTCTGACTGAAAAATCAGATTAGTTAAGACTGACACTAGATGACAAAGTTCAAGCCAACATGAGATTTTAAATGGAATTCTGGCCTTTAAAAAAAACAACCCTGCCCTCGAATTTTTCCTGTTGTACCAAAATAAACTAAAATTTCAGTAGACGACTAAAAACTTACAAAATATAAGAACTTTAAAGTATGCAACAATATCACATGCCAAGGAAAAAAATTTTTTATAAGAAATACAATACAAAATCTAGAAATTTTGGTGTTGGAAAGATAACTGTTAAGTAAGTAAAAATACCTTTCATAAAACCATGACAGGTACTCAAGAAATGTTTGTTGAATTGGGAAAAACAAAACAAAACAAAATTATTAAGAGGGAATAAATCATCACTTCACTAATTGGATCCTTAGCTTCCTCATTTTTAAAAAGAAAGGGGTTGGACTAGATAAGCAGAACTACAACAGGTTGGAATACATAATTTTCTTTAGTTAAACTGTTCTTTTAGTCCTTGAGTAGTGATTTTTGAGATTTTTAATAGGTCATAAACTTGTATAGAATCCAAGCTCTCAATTTTTGTAAAAAAGGTAAGGCACAGAAAACAGCCAAATTAACTGAGCAATTTCTAAAATTACGGGCCTTTACTATGTCATGAGGTAAAGAGTACCAGAGTTGGAAAGAAGGAGACTGGGTAAAAGTTCTGACTCAGATACCTAATAAACTACAGCTACTACAGTTGTGTGATCACAGGTAAATACCTGTTTCCTCATCTAATAGGGATATTAATATTTGTAATTTACAGAGTTGTGAATTTTAACTTTAATACTTTGATGGATCAATAATCTCATCAATGTAGATATTCCCTAAGATAATACCAATAGCAGCCTATTTAATACCTTCTCATCCTGTGTGATTCCAGTCTTTATTGTTCTGTAAATTCTCTACTAAGCATGCTGGGGAGGGGTGTGTGTGGTTTTCTTTAGTTCTCTTAACATTGCTTGGATACCAAAGATGCATGTGAGTATTAATTATCCTCCACTCTGGCTCATGGTCTTTCCAATGATACACTTCCAATGATAACCTTTACATCAATGGTGTGAAACTCAAATAGAAATGGGGCCTCTAAAACTACCCAAGGATTTTTATAGGGCTTCATATTGACTTAGAAAACCACATATTAGCATTACTTACATTCTATTATATTTTTGTTTATTTTGTTAAATATTTTCCAATTTGGTTCACTACTCACTCCTGAGTGTTATGGGACACAATGCAGCCCTTGGTCTTGTGCTCAACACCTCTGCTTTATACCACTTTAGATGCACAAATCTTTGTAATGGGCTGCAGCCTGCTCAAGCCCAGCATGAGCCTCTCCATTGCCCTTAGGATAATCATACACAATAGGTGGAAGAATACTGTTGTTAAAAAGATGGACCTTTTGTGAACTGATCCAACCATTCTGGAGAGCAATTTAGAACTATGCCCAAAGGGCTATAAAACTGTGCATACCCTTTGACCCAGCAATACTACTACTAGGTCTGTATCCCAAAGAGATCATAAATGAGAGAAAAGGACCCATATGTACAAAAATATTTATAGCAGCTCTTTTTATGGTAGCCAAGAATTGGAAATTGAGGGGATACCCATCAGCTGGGGAATGGCTGAACCATTTGTGGTTCATGACTTGGGGTATATGAATGTAATGGAATACTATTGTGCTATAAGAAATGATGAGCAAGTGGATTTCAGAAAAACCTGGAAAGACTTACATGAACTGATGCTGAGTGAAGAGAGCAGAACCAGGAGAACATTGTACACAATAACAGTAACACTGTGTGATGATGAACTATGATAGACTTAGTCTTCTCAGCAATACACTGATCCAAGGCAATTCTAAAAGACTCATGATGGAAAATGCTATCTACATCCAGAGAAAGAACTATGGAGTCTGAATGTAGATCAAAAAATACTATTTTCACTTTTTTCTTTCTCGTGGTTTTTCCCTTTTGTTCTGATTCTTCTTTCACAACATGACTAATGTGGAAATATATTTAATATGATTTGTACATGTATAACCTATACCAGATTGCTTGCTGTCTAGGGAGGGTGGAGGGAAGGTAGGGAGAGAGAAAAATTTGGAACTCAAAATTTTATAAAAATGAATGTTGAAAACTATCTTTGCATGTTATTGAAAAAAATACTATTGAGATTAAAAAAAAAAAAAGATAGGCCTTTGATTCATGAATAAGTTTGGGGTCATTAGAAGCACTGCACTTTCCCAAAGGCAATCCATGCCACTCTTCTTGTTTTGTTAGATTCTAGGACCAGTTTGTTGTCTAACTTGTGAAGTGTCCATTTAGCTACCAATCATTATCATAGTTTTGAAAACAGGCATTGTAACTTTTCAAAATTTTTCCCCTATTGGTGGGTCAAACTTGAGTAAAAGCTAATCTCATTTGGGAGACTCTGAAATGCTCCAGGGCTTAATGCAACCACTATCCAATATTATCTGCAAATGGGAGCAAGACTATTTGGAAGACTATATCAACTATGGGGATTTTCTTTTCTATTTGGACTCTGAGGTGGACATCCTCCATGACTGAGCATATACCTCCCTTCTTTATGCTTTCCCAGATATTAACAAAAGAGGTATCAAACAAAGGTTCCTGTGTTGTTAAATCTTCTAAGGTGGCATTTTATACTACTGAATAAAATTCTTCTTTATAGTCAACAAACAATAAGAAGAGTTGGATCTTGTATTCTGTGTAACCTTTAGGAAACTGTGACTATATAAAGACATGATCTATTATAGAAAGTAGTTTAAGAAAGGCTTTCCTTTTATTATTATTTTGTTATATGTAAAATCAATGTATAATATATAGCATATGTTATTATAATTATATTTTACATATGTATATAATTTATAAACAAATATAATTATTACTAATTTTAATTATTACAATACATAGCATCATTATATTAATACATCATTATTGTTTTATTAAAATATCTTTATTAAGGATGCCCTAGAAACAAGTATAAATGACTCTCATAAAAATTTTTGGAAAGATAGAAAAATACGCACAGAGTCCAGAAGTTATAAATATTCTCTTAACTATTTTCTAGCAACAACATGTTTTTTCTCATGCTTTTGGTGACCTCCTTTTTTTAAGATCCTTTATCAACCTCTCAACACTCTCAAATTGTTTTTGATTCCAGCACAGACTTCCTCTGGATACATTTTTGGTTTATTTTCTTTAGTGTCACTTCTTTGTTTTCTTAGGGGATTAGGACTGTTACAATACAAATGTGGTAGCTCCATTATCATTGATGGTGGAAAGATGATCAACAAAAGTTTTTGATTTTTTTCCATTTTTTGTTCTATTCTCATCTTCCTTCCACTTTCATCCTTATATTTCCCTTAGCTAATTTTGATTAGGTGGGCCTCTTCTCAAACATTTTAAAATTTATTCTTACTTTTGGGGTTTTTTTGGAGTTTTATGAGGTGACATTGCTTACAAAATGATGATCATGCACTATTTTCTAATATAAGATATTACAAATGATTTTATGCTGTGAACTCAATTTAAATCCTTGGCTGTCATTTCTCTTCACTAGGCAAGGTGCTCAAGGATTTTTTTTTGACTGAGGTGGTTTCTAGACTCTTTTGGTCTCCTCCTTGTGGCAATTAATTTACATGAGCTGAATTTCCTTAGTCTTCATCAGTGTTTGTTCTTTTAATCATTTTCCAGTTGTCCGCTTCAAAAATTTGTTTAAATAGGTCAGGTTGGAGTTATCTCAATTATTCACCATATCTTTGCATTTTTATTTTTCTTCTAGTTTGATATGGATTTTTATCTTCACTACAACAAATCAATGGTATGACTATATACAGAAAGCTTTTTTGGAAATAACCCACAGTCATTTTAAATAGTTATTTCTTGTCATAATAGAATGAGTTTCACTTCTGTGTTCTTATTTGATGCTCACTATTTCTGAACTTGCCAATTCACTTTTTGGAAAAAAAAATAAGAGTAATCTCTCAGATGACAGGAGGCATCTATTTCTACAAACC